CATACTTCTCTTGAGCTATATGCAAGCTCATCCCTTGACTGGATTTACATCCCTGAGTTCAGAATCTGCTTTAGCTCTTGGCTTTCATTCAAGAGCCTTAAAGCACCTAACAAACTTTTTAATTTTCCCTCATAATGACAAAGAGTAAACATAAACCCAGAAAGATTAAGAGTACCTTCCCCAAACCCCGTTGAAGTGTATAAGTATTCTTTCATTAGATTTAGACTAGTTCTTTAATGGCTTGTTCAGACATACAGAAAATACCTGGAAATGATCATGGTTATAGTCTAGATCTTAGAAAATGTCTCTGGATATAGATGTATGGAAAAACTAAAGGCATGTTTTGTGTGATGTTATGTTGTTCTAATAAAATCATAAGATGTCACTAAAACACATCATGCTAACAAAGGGTCATAAGTCACTAAGTGCTTGTGCTTTGATCTAAACAATAGGAAAAGATAAGAAACTGTGCCAGGATACCTGTGGCTGTCTGCCAGAATAAAACAAGCAAGGGGGAAAAAACCCTTAGTTACAGTTATTAATAGATCTCTAGTATGCATCATCTTCATCTCCCACCATATGTAACAAGGATTAATTAAGGTACAGATAATACATATATTTGAGGTAACTGGGAGGTTGAAGGTGGCAGATGGAATCTGATGCTGTGAACATGCAACCTTGAAGCTAAAAGCCTGCACCTGAGATGTCTGTGCATGCTTCTTACACCCCATGTAGAGGATAAGCTTCTCCAGAAGTTTATTCCTCTCTTATATGCTAGGTGAAATGAATGTCTCATCATTGACGGTAGACTGTAAGATAACTAATTTTAAATAACTAAATTTGATCTAGGTGACCAGTGCTTTTTAGCTCATCAGAACAACTTACCTGGTTTAAAGTGGCTGGAGGTCAATTGATTCATTGAAGTGATAAGCACTGAGATATCAAGTGAAAAGACTGTTTTTATTTGTCCCAGGATGAACTGAGCACTGGTGGGGTGAAATTTCCAGAATTATTCTGTTCAGCTCAGAATGTGTCCCTTGACTGTTTTGTCTCCCAGGCTTGTGCAAAATCTTCAGGAAAATTACTGTGGGGTCAAAGTTGCTGTAAGTGCAATCATTATCCATCTGTATGCTATGTAATTATTATTTATGTTATTGAATTCCCTGGAGGTAAAATTAAAATAGAGCTTTTATATTTATTCAAGCTCTTTATATTTTTTCAACCTCTTGTTTTTGTTTCCCCCTTCTCTTTAACAACCTTTTTTCTCAAGAGATCACTTTATATATCTTCATGTTTCCAAGAGATTGCAGTTCAATAGGTTGAGAGTTAATTGCCAGCTGGGAGTTTCCAGATGTTTATGCGCTACCCCAAAGAGCTGTCCACTGGTAGCAAATGAACAGCTGGAAAGGCACAATCCAAACAAAGCAAATTTTAGCTAATTGACATATGTCTAGAAGACTTGTCATGTTTTGAGAGAAATGGAATTGAAAATGGGAACAGCTAGGGTCATGTCCTTCATTATCAATAATTAAGCAATTACATTTTTTTGTTCAAATTCAGATATAATTCTCAAGCACTATACTCACTTAGTCATTATCACCCATATAAATAGATGACAAAAGTAATACATAGACTTCACTCTTTTTCCTGAAGAAATGTGTTCAGAAATATTAGTTATAGTGTTGAACATAGGCTCTTTCAGGGGGCTGGATGGTGGAAATGATTTGTAACAGAATATGAAGTCTTTCACCTAGAAGTCAGATTCACATCCAGCCTAAACAGCTGATGGCAAGTGAGCTGCTAAATTGAGCTACTTAAGTGTTTACTATCAAAATGATTTTTTTTTCTTTTTTTCTTTTTAGTGAAATAAATGGTTCTGTACACAATCAAAAGTTTCAGTGGGGAAAATTGATTGTTCTGAAATTGTTTTCCACATGGAAAATCAAAATTTAAAAAGTAACTTTTTTCACCAGCTTAACTTTTCTCTGTAAAACCCAGTATAGCTGCTTCATATGACATTTATTTCAAGACTCAGTTGTTTAGGGTGTTTTATCCTGTAGTGTCAACCTGAGTGCTCAGTGTTCTGTTCTTTAAGCAACGTTCTTCAGGAAGGAAAAATCCTTTGGAGAGGTCATATGGATGCACATTGAAAGAGGTAGACTAGGAAAAGTAACACCTGAAAGATGGGAAGGGAAAGAAATCTTAATTGCTTTTTGTCCTAAAGCACAAGGAGATGAAATATAGAAAATATTGCAGGATGGAATAATAGGTATGTATTTTTTTTATCACAAGCCACACTTTAATGTTTTTAAAAAACATTACTCTATATGATGGCTCATGTTGGGTTTGTGTCTTATAGAACAATCTTGTGATAAGTAAAGGGAAGACAAAAAAAAATCCATGAAATAGCCTTTTCACGTTAAAATTTGAGGTTTATTATGAACATTAATTTCCATTCCAGTTGGCCATTGCTGGGATGGAACTTCTTAATGTCTCTAAGCAGTTAGGATTTACTTAAAGTAGATGAGTTAGTATTTTTCCTAAATAAATTACTTTTTGCCCAACAAGAGGTGAATAGAGTGTAATTCATGTGCATGACATCTTTAAAGAATGAGGCCAACAGAAATATCTCCACAAAACATTTTTTGTCCCTGAAAAACATGATTTTTTTTTTTTGTCATTGTGAGAGACTATACTTCATTGTTTCAATTTCAAAGTATTTTTGCCCTTAATATCTTTTTCATGAAATCAGTGATTGGATGCATCCATCTAAGTACTGTTTCTGGGAGTTTGGTACTTCTACCACTTAAATAAACATGCTTGGAAAGAACTTAATAGAGGTTTCTCCCTGATGAGAACTTGACCGCACGCACACTTTATGGGGATCTTGGAAGGAAATTTTACTCCTTCAGAAAGGAATAGTCTTCTGTCTACTCAGTCTGAATTACAGTCATGATATGGTAGGAATTGCAGGACATTGTTACCTTGAACTGTCATCATGGCCGTCCCAATGAGGAGAAAAATATAGCTATCATAATGGGAGCTTTACACTGTATAGTTTATCTCTATAACAGTGCACTATGATGTGCCTAATTAGACTGTATCAGCTGCTCCATGTCTGCTACTAAAGGGATAGTTTCTTATTGTGTCTAGTCAACAGCTCTCAGCCTGTGATTTAGCACTGAAATTAAATTTAAACATAATTTCCCATTTGATTATCAAGCTATGGGTGACTTTTAAGGATCCTTTTTAATCCATTACTTCTACTAGCTGTAAACTCTCTGCCACAGTTTCTTCTTCTTTGGTAGATGTAGACTAACTGAAAACTCATCCATTTAAAGTTAGAGAGGAAGAAATGCAAATAATTCCAATTAGAGTATGCAAACTTGTTGTTGTTCAGTCTCCTTCATTGATTGTCAGCTTCTACTTCTGAGTCTCAATTATTGAGATATAATAAATGTGATGGGTTTAAACTGAAAGGAATAAGACCTTCAGAAATATAGGGTGAGAAATAGGGAAAAAAATAAGATTTTTTTCCCATGCTAAATTGGAACTTTCATCCATCTTGTATCTTCATTGTGAGATTAGTAGAGTGACTTCCACAAGACAATCTTTAAAATTATGTATCTATGTATGTGTGTTTGTAGGAAAAAAAAACCCTCCCTAGACTTTTGTGCATATTAATCTGTTAAAACATTGTGAAGAAAAAAAAAAAACAAGTGTATATTTCTTCAGTAATATTGTCTAAGGATCCAACCTGGATAAAACAGTGCAAGTTGTATGGACAAAAAGATAACAGTGTTGATCAGAGCTGAAAAAATTTCATAGCCTACTGTTTACTCACCTGTTGCATACCTTTTTATATGCCTGGGAAGAAGCTGGGTGGGTCAAGATGAAGTTATGGAACACATTTATTTTGGAAGTCTCTCTGTACTTGTGTTGCTCTTGAAAGATGCCCACAGTTTGATGGACATATTGCTTGAACCTTGAAAGATATGATACTTCCATTTCAAGGAGCTGGTGAGGTTGCAGACATTCTGTAGTAACGTCAAGAGAAAATGTCCTCTGCGTAACAAGCACTTCTTTTACTGCAGGAACTGACAGGTTTTCAACATATTGCAGTAAGAAGGAACGATCTGATCACATCAGACACACACACAACTGGTTTAAGACATTGCAACATTGACAAGTTTTACCAGTTTTACCAGAAGGTGAGCAAGAATGGAGGTGGAGAGAGAAGGCAGAACAGAGTTTTTGCTCTGCCCTACCATGACCAGGTCTTTAGCTTTTGTAGTTGATAAGACAACTTTTTGGAAGAATCAAAGACATGATCCATTGGAACATCTCTGAAGTTCTAATGACCTGCAAATTAACATGGATGTTTTGGATTGATTGGTTGGGCGTTGCTGTGATTGACTTTGTATGCATGGCTGGAAGCCAATGAGACCTTGCAGCAGCAAATGCAAGGTGGTGGCTTTCTGGTGTGATGCAAACAAGGAGACTACTTGTGGATGAAAGTCAGGTTAAACAATAGGCGTAGTCCTCTGCTGTAGGAAGTCCCAAGTCCTCTACATGCTTTTTCCTTTAAGTGTTTGTTACGAAGGAAGGACATGAGATCTTCAGTGTGATATGGCAGTAAGCTGTTTGTTCCCAGTGTTTCTGCTGGAGCAGGAGTCCAATCTCATGCTCCACTTTGCCACCATGTGGGTTCTTCGAGATCCTTAATCCTCTACAACCCTCTGTATCCGACACTTCAGCAAGTATTCAAGCAAAAATAAGCACTTATAGCCACTCCGTTGCTCACTTTTCATCCAGGTTCAGAAGAAGTGATTATAACTTAATTTCTCAACTCTCTACTATCGACGTATTAAGGAGAGGTTTTTTTGATTGATTTACTGGGAATGGGATGATGATGGGAAAGTGGTTTTCTGAATGTCTCAATTTTAAACAGATTCTCTCTGAAGCACTGTTTTTACTGAGGATTTGCCTTTTGTTTACAGGCTGTGCCTTCCTAACATACTGCGAAAGGGAGTCTGCTCTAAAGGCCCAGAGTGCACTGCATGAACAGAAGACACTGCCAGGGGTGAGTCCAGATTGATAACTTTTTTTTATAAATCTAAAATGGGTTACATATGGAGTTCCTGTCTTGGGTTTGGAAGCATAATGCCTCCAGTTGCTTGGATGATTCACTATTTGCATTGTGCTAATAAAATCAAGATAACACCAACCCACCAAAACTGTTTCCATGCACAAAATTAAAAGCATTTTGTTCTTATTCGGAGTTAGGAAAACAGTAATTAACTAGTTATTGGGTAGATTCTACCAGTCTTACTCAGCTGAGGAATGGTTTTAGAGTTCTGACCACTACAATAAGATATTAGAAGCGCTCATCAGGTACCACCTCTTACTGTTTTTCTTTTCTGAAACAAGGTGTGGCAGCAAGAAATAAACAAACAGATCACACTATTGAGTTATCACAGAACGAATACATATTCCTGATGACAAAATGGTTTGACTCAGTTACTTTAGTATTCAAGCAGCTGTAGCAGATTGGAAAGGCGGTGAGACAAGGAGAAAAGAGAGAGAGGAGAGACTAACACAAGATAATGAGGAAAATTATTCACATGAGCAAGATCTAAGGTTCAGACAACACAAGCAGAACTAAAAATAGAATCAGCATTATGTGGGGAAGACCTGCCCTGCTGGGATGGGTTTCCAGTTTAGCAGTAATTGGAGAAGGGAGAGAGAGAGAGACTATTTAACTTCGGCCAGGGTACATAGCTTGGAAACAGCCAAGTGCAGTACTTCTGTGGCTAGAATAGGGCTGGTTTCACAATGGCACAAAAGTCAGTGATCAAGTAATTAAGAGTGGGATCCTGAGGGTTTAAGGTTGCATCTAAACTGAGAAAAAATTGATTCACAAGTCTACCTTTATTACTTGGTGTTGAATGACTGAGTCCTGCATATCCATAACTTACCTTTCTACAAAGCTTAAGACACATCAATTGTTATATGTTGCTAGAAGAAAGTGTTGATTCTTCTCTGCTTGTTTACATCATCCTGGGTCTATTTACCGATCTCTATGCCACCTTGCCAGTATGGAGATGCCCACACATTTGCTCATCTGCATCTATCTTTGCTTTAAAAGACATACCTTATGTAAATATATATGTACTTCATTCCCTAGAAATACATTTTTGTCAGCTGACAACTCCCTCTGAATTATTTTTTCCTAGAAACTCGTCAGTCACAGATTGAAAGTAACTTGAGTATTGCTGGGGTTTAGGTTTTTCTTTATTTCCTTTTTTCTTTTTTTTTTTTTTTTTTTTTGTTTCCCCCACCTTAACAGGTGATGTTTCTTTCTACTCTCTCTTCTGAATGATAGATGTACAAAATTGAAAATATTTTAAATAGAGATATCTCAGGTAATATTTTACCAGAAATTTTCTGAAATATGCTTGAAATCACATATGTATTTATAAAAACTGGAGATATTCTTGTGGCAAATAGAGTGTTGTGTATTTAAAAGATACTAACTAGAATTCCAATTGTTTTCACTAAGACTGCTTGGTTTCCTCATTAGGAGCCAGACCACCCACTTGCTTATGGAGGTCCTATCTTATCTATGAGGTTAAAAACACATCCTGAAGTTGTATGATGGGAATATCTTCAAGAAGACAGTGGGTCAGTGAGAATGAGGGCTCAGATATTAGGAGGGAGGACAAGTGATGATTTTTTTTTTTTTTCAATTACTTCTTTATATATCCACAGTTCTGAATCTTAGTCTGCATTTTAGAAATTTCAAAACACAAAACTCTTAAAATCAAAACTGCTGTATCAGACAGTGGCAAAATTCAACCAGCTTTTGTATTAGGATCAAGAGTTCTTTCAGAGGTTATACTGACGGATTCTAGACTACAGGTAAAGCATTTCTTCCTTGGTTTATGTTACTTCTGTGACATATAACCCATACTGACCACACTGACTTCAGAAAGCTTCTTTGTTTTGTTTTACACTCTGAGGTGACACATCAGGATCTGATTGAATCAGGAAGAGTGAGTCCTCTGTTTAAAATAGCTACCAGGTTTTTGAGCGTTCTGAGCACTGACTTCTCCCATCCCTTTCATTTCCAGTTCTGTTTGTCTCAGGATAAAGGTTTACTTTACACTAGCAAATCCTCTGCATACAGCTTTCTGCCAAGTTTCTGAACTCATCTTCTGAATGATGTCACTGTAGTTTATTTAAGGAAACCAGCCTTGTCTCTTGATAAACTATCATGCTGAGATACTGTTTTATAGTTCCTATGTGAGTAGCAAAGAATTATGACTTACCTGACTGTTCTTGATAACATGCACCAACAATATCAAGCATAGTTCATCATCATAAAATAAAAAGCACTCATAAGGTCAGGGGTCTAAGTCCTTATTCACATGAGTTCACAAATGACACATATATAACACCTTCTCTTGACCCTCTACTGTCTGTGACACAAACAGCACTACTGAGGAAGTATCAAAAATAATTAACAAGCCTCAGATAAGAAAAAAGGAAATAGTACTAGAGTGAGCCATTGAATCAAGATAATTCTTCCCCATCCCCCAATAAACTATGTATTTGCCTGCTCTTGCAACATTGCTGTTTGTGTTCTTTGTATTATAAAACACAGAATTGAGTCATTTTTAATAATATGCACATGAATGCTAATGTATGGAAATGGTGACGCATGAGGAGTTTGTGTCCAGATTCAGACGCCTTGCCTCTTAGCTATGTATCACTTTGTTTTTAGTAGAGTGGCTACATGCACATATTTTACAGTAATTACTTTCTGGATGTGCTTTGTAAGATGACAGAAATATGTTTCACATATTTCTATGTTATATGTGGGACATAAAGTCATCTTGTGGAATAATCAAAAGACTTTCAAGCAGGTATGTGTTGATTAATAAAGTCTTTATGGCACTTTGTTTTTGGGCAGGAAGGAATCATGATAGATATTTTGAAGCAACTAGAATGGAATGTAAAACATACAATTATCAGTTTAATCCTCTTAATATAAATGAATCAGGCTGTTTTGGACATTTTGAAATTGTCTTGCCTAAAACAGAAGGTTAATGTAACAGGGTATGTATGTATGTGTAAAGAGCCCTTTACGAGTGTTGGACAATTCAAATTCTAGCATTTACTTGCGATTGTTTATTTTACATATAATAGAGTATCTGGATGATGAAGTATATTAGTTCTTTAATAATTTATAGAAATGCTTTGATGTTGCAGTAATTACATTAAAGGTCACATATCAAAGGTAATTTGGTTGAGCAGCTGTGATGGTTTCTCAGAAGCAATCAATATTGCTGTCCGTGGTGCTGATTTCACCAAGGGGACTGCCAGATTAAAGGAGGCTTATTACCAGCCAGACAGACACGGGGGAAATCAAGAACAGATTGGAGAGATGCACTATCCTCTTTCCCCACCTATAATTAACACTGTTCACCATAATCTGTGCTAATCCTTCATAGTGGGAAACCACATTTTCTTTTCCCCCCAACATTATAAAAAGCAAATTAGGCAGGGAAGAGTAATTTGGGAGAGCAGGAAAGAGAAAGTAGAGAAACTAAAAGTTGATTCACCCTTGGGATTTCTGATGCTGATATATCTCAACGATAAAATGCAATATCAAAAAGATAGCCCATGGTCTTGGGGAAAACACAGGGAGAAGGGGCAAGTGGTCTAGACAATGACAGAGCAGGGGATGCGAGAATTGTCTGCCTGTAGATTTGGTATAATATTATCTATTTGTCCCACAAACCTCCACAGGAAATAAAATCAGGGAAATAAAATTATGTTTTAAGTGTAGACATTTTGATTACAAATTATAGTGAAGCCAACATTTTCTCCCCTTTCTTTTTCCTTTCTGAAGTGAATAGCAGAGGATAATGGTGAGAAATGTAATTATGTTATCAAGATCTACTTTTATTTATAGCACAAATAAACTGAGCTCATGTATGATAAGCACAGCAGCATTTTTCTCCTCTAGTTCTTTGTGGAGCATTCACGCAAAGGGAGTGAATACTCCACGTATACTTGGTTGGAGGCACTCCTTCTTTGCATAATGTTAAAACCTCCCTGTAAGAATTTCAAAGAATAACTATGAAATTAAGTAGCTAAGAAACTGTTAAGCTTGACAATCCACAGGTCTTATTCAGGCTAGGAAGTAGACTGGGTTTTCTTACCGTATCTGTCTTTTTTGAAAGGGAGAGTGGTACTACTGATATGCTAAATTTCTCAGTCTATAACATAATTAGTTTTCTTTCTAACTTTTCTTATATCCATTGACTCTTCTATAAAAAATATATTCTGCTTTATTAATCATATGCAAAAATATACATCTGTAACACTAGAAGACAGGTGATCCCATAAAACTCATATTAAACACTGTTTTAAACAAACAAACAAAACCCCCTCTTTAGTGACACAAAAGTTATCCTCAGTTTAAAAATTAAAAAAAAAAAAAAAAAAAAAAAAATGAAAGTTTTTCAAAGTTATTGGCCTTATTCGTCTCACATTCATATGTGTATGTGAGGAAAGACACCTGAGTATGGAGGGGAAGGGGAGAGGGTGTCTTGCAAAATCTAGCCCCACTTGAATCCTTGTAGTAAGGCTTAAATGAGACATAAGTGTCATGTGGACTTCAGAAGTCATGCACATATAGCATGGATTTCACTGTTCAAGCAGACTTTGTTGTAATTTTACAGTCTTATTGTCTTTTTTTTTTTTTTTTTTTTTTTTTTTTTTTTAATGTCCCAAAGCTTTTTCCAAAAGCTTGTTAGAAAACCATTAACCACATATCATCCTGCACACTGTGTTATGCTAAAAATGGTATTATATTCCCACACCTTTCCATTTCAAAAGTTTTTGCTACCAATGTAAATTGCAATTTGGTCAGCAGTGGCAGGCTGGATGGGTTCCATTGATTAAAGTAGCCTGCTGAACACACAGGCTGCTCGCCATGCCCTTTAGATTTTGAAAGAAAACACATTTAATTGTTCCCTTGGGAGAAACATGTCTGTTTTCTGAAGTTAAAAA